CCCGCTGGACCTTCTCAATGTAAATGATTCCTAATTCAACAGCCTGTCTGCGCGAAATCGAGCCTACTTGCATTCTACTGCCCCAGCTTTCTATACGAGCTACAGTGCTGTGCAACCTCATCACTGTCACAAAGCCTCTCCTCACACACTCCTCCCTTAGTGGAGCACTGTAAGAGCTCAAAAGAGTTTCATCTCCCTCCGCAGAAAAGGCTCTTATTTTTAAAAGGCATGAAAGCACTGAAATATTTACAGAAGCGACCCCAAAGCTCAGCTCCCAACTCCGACAGAAAGACCACTTCCCTTGGTGCTGCAGTGTCGGCTGGACACCCCGAGTTTGCAGGGCTGAGCCCCGGATGTCTCTCCGCCCAGGAGGCAGGTTTAGGTGAGATCTGATCAGCACAGCAGGCTGAGAAGTCGATATAAACACATCCCACATTCTTCTGTGCTTTCTGTTCTTCTTCAGTGTGAACTAGCACACTACAGCTCTGGGAACGATGTTATTTTCTTTAAAACTGAAACTAACACAGGAAATGCAACTCTGTTTTCCCAATCCTCACGCTGAAATGAACACTTCCTTGCTCCAGTACAGAAACCATCACGCCAGGAGCTGGATTTGTTCTTGATGGGACGAGTGAACAGGTGGACTGAGGCGTCACTCAGTGATCTAATGTCTGAAGAAAGAACCTCTATAAGAAAGGAACAGAAGTAAGCAGGAGGGGAAAGAGATCGAATCCACAGTTTTTGACATACAGGAGGGGCCAAGGGGAGAGACGGGGCTGGATGGGACAGCAGTGTCTCACAACACCACTGGGAAAGGGGCAGTGGCCAGTAGGCAGTGTGGATCTAGGTGGGAAACACATACAGGAAGAACATGCAGACTCCACACAGACAGTCAGACAATTACAAGATGGAACCCAGGAGCCTACAGGCCGCAGCGCTAAAGCACCATGACCTTGTTTGGGGAAGTGCTTGATTTCAAAAGGTTTTCCTGATATTGATTGTTCATTCATTTATTTTCTGATCTCCTTATCCAGTCCAGGGTCACAGGGGGAAGCTGGAGTCTATCCCAGCCAGCAACAGGCACAAGGCAGGGTTCACCCTGGACAGGACAGCAGTCCATCACAGGACACACACACACACACCCTGGACAGGACAGCAGTCCATCACAGGACACACACACACACACTCACACACCCTGGACAGGACA